ACAGATGGATAGGCCCCATATTCCATAGATAGGTTGAAAAGTTTTAAACAAAATAATAGGAATTCTCTACTACCATATTTCCCAAATGATGAGGGAATCCCGTCAGGTCCACCGTCATAGGACTTTTTCAAGGCAGTTATGGCCTGTTTGATGTTGGTGTCTGCACGTCTGCATTGGAAATGTATTGATACAGCTTTCAGTTCTAGTGTTATAGCACTGCGAGAAATGCTGACTGAATTGTTCGCAAATAATATCGAGGTCATCAATAATTCTTCCGTTAACTGTGAAGAATTTGGTCGCGCCAAGAGAATTTGACTTCACACGAGATTTAAAAAGCCGAAGTATTGATAATTCTGGGCTTTTATTACCTAGGGCTTTATTTTCTATATTCATAAAATACTTGCGTTTAGATGAAGCACTCTTGTCAATTAACTTAAGTATACTCTGTAGTGCATACTAGTCATTATGCTTGTGGTAATGGTGTTTTAATTTCCTCAGCTTTCTTTTAAAATTTTTAAAATTAATCTGGCCCCTATTGGCGTTATAAGCCACATGGCCAATAATTGGAGGCAGTGTATCAAGTTCGAGATCGCAATGTCAATATTATTTATGGTAAAATAAGTTTCCCGTAGTAAGCAACGAATAAGACTTTCAGTCCGTTTCCAGGTTTGTTGATCAAAATGTCTGCTTTTGTACATCATTGCAGCTTTAGAATTCAATTGTATGGCGTCGAAAGAATGAATGGTACACAATACTACTCTGTGATCACTCTTAAAAAACTCATGACTGATATGCACTGAGATAGAATCTATGTTAATTGTAAATAGTAAATGAAGTATATTATTCTTTCTAGTCGGTTGTCGGACCTGTTGGACCCATCCATAAAGTTCTAGTGTTTCAACTAACTTGTCATGTCGACCTGATACCGGAGTCGAATCCCATGTAATGTTTGGCAGATTAAAATCACTTTCGATGATTTTAAAAGTATGCGGTTGGTGTGAAGCAATGGAAAAGATGTTTGTTAGTAATCTGTCAAACCTAGAGTCTGCATGAGGTGGTCTGTATATGCATTTCACTAGTAGATAATTCTGAGATCCACCGTTTACAGTAGCCCAAGTGGAGTCGTCTATAGCATCAAGGGATTTATCCTCAAATTTGCAGGCCTGAATATCCGAACGGACATAGATAAATGTACCGCCCCCTAATCCATTACATCTATCGGTTCTAAAGAAAACATAGTTATCTATATGCAGGGAGTGATCGGATATAAATGAATTGCACCACGTTTCCGTAATAAGTACAATAGTTGGATTTACAAGGAATAAAAGAGTTTTGAGGTGAGTAATTTTATTGGGCAGAGAGCTGGCATTGAACGAAAGAATAAGAAATTGAGAATTACCATGGTGAAGCAGGTTAGAGTATAAATCACAATTGTTATTTTCATGGATACTCGTAGGATTGGCTAAGGTGAGAGTTGTGTTGCAATCGGAAATAGATTCAACAACTTTGTAATCATTTGAAGTATGTTTACTGTTGCCGGCAGAAAAGCCGGCGGAAGTACAAAACAGTCTTCTCATTGTTATTGGATATAACATTTGGTAAAGAAATGGTATAGATATTTGGAGCCGGGCCAAGAAGGCTATCAGGTCTATGTGTGCGACCAAATGGCCGTTTACAATTTAGATTGCTATTTATACTTGACGTATAGGGAACATGTTCTAAACAGCTTATTTCCAAGGTTTGTGGTTGATTTTGGCTCCTTCGTAATTTGAGGAGGGTCGTGTGTTGTTAAAGATGCTTGAGATGGTTTGCAAGGTTCGAGTATATCGACTTTAAGAGTGTGGTCAGGTAGATAATTTATATGACCAGTTTTCCCGTTATCCGTTGCACAGTCACTGTAACTGGTTGTTGCACTAACAGCGATTTGGACTGTTATCACATTTGTAATCAGTACAACTACTTGGGGTTGAATCTAAGTCAACATTCTTAAAAGGATGGGCATCATCTACATTGGGACTACTTTCTTTTGAGTTTTGAAATTTTGGAGATTTAGGAGAGTTTTTCGGTGGTTGTATATTCGTAAAGTTAGATGTTTGTTTAGGATCGGACTTAATTTTATGACCTTTAGGATTATGATACGCTTGGGAGTTTGATGCTGGTAGTCTGTAGTTATCTCGACCTGTTTTTCGTTGGCATGGTGTTCTATCTGGTAGAATCTTAATATCCTTGAAAATCTGTTTCTGTTTCAATGAATTGGAGGAATTCAAAAACTCACTAGCGTCTACAGATGAGTTGAATTTGAACAAGATCGGTGAGTGCATATCAGGGTGGCTTCTTTTTAATCTTGTGCATACACATGGTACGTGTGTCATAATGCTGGCTCTAAGCAGACTAGTTTTGATATTTTTAAGGGCATTTGAGTCCGGTATATTAAACACAATTGCATTGCTAGATCGCCTTATTCTTTCAAATACCTCTGATGCAACACGATCTAGGAAGACATTTATGTCATTCATTTGATCTGGAGTCTCTGTGAAGTTAGGGTTGATGAATATACTTGAGGAGATTTAGAATGTTCATGTCAACTTGCAGTCTTTTAATATCATTCGCATGGTTGCAGTTGTGATTATCATCATTGTTTACCAACAGAGTCTTCAACACGTCTGGAATGGAGACAACTGGTAAAAGCTTGTCTGCTTCCGGATGAACGGAGTAGCTCGTCTCGTTGAAACTGTCAGTAGCAATTTTAGATTGTGTAATTTTCCTACGTTTGGCTGGACACCTACAAGCAGGGGCCTTTCTTTTCTTTTGTTGCATGACAAGAGAGTGACGTATAGCAGATGGATTGAACAAAATTTTGGAAATAGAGATGAAAAAAATCAATGCCAATGACTGAAGTCTAGTAATCAAAACCTATGCTTAACACAAGGGTGGATGTATCGTGAGGCTGGCTCAGGCCAAGTGAATCAAATTCGAATATGGGAATCGAAATTATTACAGAGGATATGGAAGTTCCTCAGAAAGCTTGTAGAACATCAACGTTCATGTTCTATGTCGAAATGATTGGGGGCCTACTATAGTTAGACGAGAATGGTGACGAACCAACTAACGCTGAAGTCACAACTTGCGACCGGCATTTACGTGGTTTGAACCATCGACGCATCAAAGGATCATGGACGCTATGGAGACTGTACAACACAAAGGACGTTATTATAAGAATATATTAGTTAATGTACAACCACGGAAGTACAGAAGTGAAAGAACAACCACTGCCGCGTGGGCCAGTTCATGTCATATAGTTGATTGATGCGCGTTGAATACCCTTGACTTTGACAGGGATCAATTATCTGTTTGATATTCAGTGACCCTACAAGCTAAACCTTATAAGCTGTTTAGCCGGATAAATGATACCAAATATCCTAGTCATTTTGTTAGTAGATGTCAGTGTGTTAAAGTGCAATGGATACGATGTGACTGTTTAACTGATAAAGTCCTTAAACGAAATCATGACCTCTAGAAACTGCTTAGAACAGGTTATCCTGACACGGAGTCTTTGACAGTTTTCGCCCACGATGGCCTTGAAAAGTCGACGAAATAATGACGTAGTAATGTACTTAAATTGTGCTTAAATTGTTTCGTCCGATAATTTTAAATACTTCAAATGATACAACCTACACAATACGTGTCCAGATCGTATAATTCTATCAAAACCCTTTACATAAGCTTCTGGTAAATGTACTTCAAGTTCAAATATGCTGTTACCCAGGTGGAACGTTGGAGTACTCATTTTAGCTCTACTTCTAAGCTAGTTATACCCTTATTTACCATCCTTCGAGGTACGTAGTAGTCTGACAGATTCGTAAGTTTCACATACCGAACAGGGGGACAGAATTGCTGGATGGAAGTTTGTACATACAACTCACTAGTGCCTTATACCTGGTGTTGTAAATAATGAATAATCTATTATGCTTCGCACACTACCTTCTAATTTGATCACGTCGATTGGCTTATGAATACAGATCACACACCCTCCATTACTTTTACGATGTCAATCTGTTGAAGGTATCCAACATTTATATCACTCCTGGTCACGCAAATTAAATACCATTCACGAACCCTGAGACTGCGCTTCAAGATGTAATGAGTGACGAATCTCTAACGTTCCGGTATTTTGAGAATTTATTTCATTACGAGCCGACCATAATAATAATGTTCCCCAGCCTTGTGACTACAAAATTCTCAGTAAACAAAAAGCAGTGAACATCCATATACAATGTTCCCCCACAATTATTTCCTGTATTCTCATGACTAGTAATATTATTTTCATTAATATTGATGACCCAGTTCTGATCACCTCTCCATTTTCCACCTAGACATATTGGTTTTTCTTGAACGTTTTTGGTTCAAACTGTTTACTTAAAGTATATTACTTTACTTAGACGGTTACTTTTCTTTTACATATTTACTATTTCATTTCATATTTTTCAATATTACAAACGACAAATTTCCAGCCAGTTAACGTGACAATGCAAATTTTACGAGATAAACCCACTTATGTATCCTCACAAAATACTGAAAACCAGTTATTTATAGAGTTTACTACAATTAACACAAACAAATGGCTAGAAAACCTGTATGGTGGGTTGGACTAACTGCTTCTAGCTTAGATTCCGAAACTGCCTACTCTGAAGTTTATTTTATTCTTATTTTGGATTGCTTTCGGTATTAGACGTAAATGCATTGTATGAACTTGCTGCACCGTTAACTCAACTTTCCTTTCACCCTATTTTCCACTACACTTTACTCATTCTACTATGCACTGCCGCCTGGTACAGAAAGTATATTCTTTCAAGAAATGAACCACTACAAACTCACTGAACGACATCAAACAAATAGAACCGTCTCGTGAAAACATGCAATGTGCTCCAGTATATAAATTCGTCACAAAAATCTCAAGTATTTATTATTGAATCATATTCTTTGTTTTCTCTCGCTGCAAAGAAATGTGTATTTTTTGGAATTTACAGTTTGCCGTTAGCTGTTATCGGTGTATGAAATGGTTTGCCATATCACTCAATTAATTTGACATTATATTAGGCTGGTGATAGAAAGTTATTATTTCAAGGATGTCTATCTGTGTTTGGAGGAGTTTTGTTACATCTGACTTTCGGGTATTTTTATACTGTTTGTAAGTTCCTAAATATACACTCTTCACATCGTTGAAGCGAACATGATTCCCTATATTATGGACTACCTAAGAACATATGTTAACCCAAACCTATCGGATAAAGATGCAATTTGGTTATCAGCGTTGGGATTTTGTACTCAAGGCTTTTCCATGCCTGCCGGTGGATTAGTTGCGAAAAAAGTGGGTTTTAGAATTGTGGTTGCGACAAGCTGCATATTTTTGAGGTAATTATGTTTTGAAATTTGATTTTTTGGATTGGTTGCACACGGTTTACATTGCTTATTTTCAATAATGTCTGCTATTCACTCCCTTTCTGTTCATAAATTGTGGTCTCGCCGGTTAATTTTTCTACATCTTCATAAAATTGGTCAAATTACGTGGATAAGATAGCATAACACGGAAATCAGATTATAAGTAAATTTTTTCGATAAACTAATACAGAACTGTGTGTTACTAAGTTACTAGGGATGCGAGAGACTTGGTTTCATTAAGAATTTCAGATAGATACCAGTATTAGTTCCGAGGATTTTAAGCTCATCGTTTAAGTAAAGACCCAATAACCAACAAAAAATTAAGGTAACTTAAAAGACACCCAAAGCTGAGAGAAATTCTGGCGATCGCTCTCGGGAACCCAAGACATCGATAATCAGATGGGAATTCGGCGTAAATCTAGTTTAAATCATGTGTAAAATTTCCAACCCTGTGTAAGATCAAGGTTTTTCTGACCACGTTTCAGCCAAGGTTTACAGAAAATTAGTAGTATAATTTGACTAAAATTAACACTAAATTGGTCAGCTCGCCGATGGTGTGTGTTTATGTTGGATTATTGCTTCGGTCAAGCGCCCGAAGAAGTATACTGCAGGAAGATTCATTATTACAAGATAATACTTTTTCACCAGGTTAAAGTCTTTACAGATGGTTAACACTCGTTTAAGTTGAACAGTATTTTATATATTCTCTTCTGTAACTAATGTTTAGAAGTAGTTTAATTGGATACCAGGACATCAGTATATGCTTCAAACGTGAAATCACATATTTTACGCTATCCGTCATCGGATTGTAGATTTAATGTTGATTAACAAATAGTCTTGAAAATACACTCCGTTAAGAGGTTTCATTTGTAAATCTTTTAAGATGTAAAGTGTCAGATACATTCAATGTGAACAAGTAAACCAATAAAATAGATTAGCCTGAATATCATTTAAATCACCGAAATAGTGAAGCCATCTGGCATAATAATGAACACATAACCAGGTTATTGTTGTAAAAGTTTTGCGCAACCAATTTGTGTATGTATAATACAACATGTTATAAATCAAGATTATATTCTTTGTCTGCGAAGATTTGCATCCCGAAAAACTATCTACAAATGTTGAAGCACCAAGTAGCGCATATACTGGGGTTGCTGATAACTAATGGAATTGACAAAAAAGTCTTTAACGTTATTTAAAACATTTCCAAATATCTTAGGTTCAAAAAACACAGTGTGCTCTACAATTCTGTGGAAATGTATATATTTTTATTATTTGCGTCTAAATTAAAGTAGAAAAAGTAGACAATACTGACGAAAACACCAACAATTGTTGTCAATTCTGATGATATTTCACCAGTTGCTCTGACTGCACCAGTGGCATCTCAGTAGATAGCCTATACACGTTTGACGTAAGTCTATGGTACACATTTTGGTGACGGATATTTTCATAGAACCTGTAAATCAACTGATTCGAACTCTACCTTAGAGTCAAAAAGTACAACTATGTTTGGAAATCGGTAGATTTTCATTTTTACAGGATCTGATGAAGAAACAATTAACACGAAAAACGTAGAATAGACCTGTCTTTTTTTCGTGGATCCATGATAAGGTGGAGAGGCATGACAGTTTCAGTTAGTAATTACTTTGGTAGTTTACCCAACCAACGTGAACTTCCAAAAAAAGGTGTGGTGAAGACTGTAGTACATTACTATCTGAATTCATAAGTCGATTAACGCTAGACCACCATGAAAAAACTGAAAGCTCTGGACGGCAGTTTCGCCCTAAAATGGAACTACTAAACACTGCGCATCCACGATCCTGCACGCGGGATTTGAACCTGCGCGAGCGCTTAACCTCTAGACCACTGGGCCGGCGTCCAACGGTGTTAGCGTTCAATTACAACTAATCCACGAAATTGCGCCACCATCCCCCATTGTCTTCAGTGAGTTACTATCTCATAACAGACACAGCTGAACTCCAGTGGTCACAGTTTCACTCTGCAACTTTAGGAAATACCTTTTGAAGCCAGTCACTAGTGTAAATTCGGTGTACGTGTTTAGGTTTTGGCTAATTATTTATGGGGAGCATAATAATAAGACTACATTATGTAGAGTATTTTAAACGTGATTCTGTGCCGAAACTTATGATTTTTTGTCTACTTATCCGCACATTAATTGATAGAAATCAAGTGATTAGATTGAAATCACTAAAATTACTCTATGCTACTTTTATTTGTAAATGTTCTTTTACTGTTAGATTTTTTGTTCCCTTTTAAAATCATTTTCTCTCATTGGGTTCCACCTGTCTTTTCCCAATGAATTGTACATATTCAAGGGTCGTTTGTTATGATTTTTTTGTCATGAAGTTAACTCGAAATCATATTTAAAGTAATGAAAATGCTTATGGTACGTGAGACAGATTTCCTGGTGAGTTCATTTTATTGCTAACTTCTTATACAAGGGTGTTTATTCTATCATTTGATTTCCATAACTAAGCATACAAGGAGATTCTTTAATCACCTAAATACTTTGTTGCTTTCATCTACTGCGTTAAGGTCAACTAATAAATTAAGTCACTAACAAATAGTTCTTGTAAAATTATCATTCACGGTTGGTGGCTGGATCTGTAGAAATGAATCTTAACTCATGTGCTTATAGATATTCTGATAACATATTTTACCCTCACGTTCAACAATTGTATTTTTCAGTGGAAGCGTATTTGCTACATATTTTACAATCCAGAAAACATTTGTTGGAGTGGTAATAACATATTCACTAACAATGGGTATTGGAATGGGATTCGCTTATTCTGTAGTATTCGCTGTCGCAACAACAGTGAGTTTGTCACAGTTATCGCATAATTTAATGTTAATTAAGTCGTTTGCAGTTTTTTATGAAACCAGTGACGCTGGAGTAACCTAAGCCAAATAAATTATTTTAAGATGCTAATGTAAAGCCAGAAATGCGAATGTTGCTGTTGGTGAACATAGAGTAGTGTTTTCGTTCCGACAGTAAGTGGACTGGAGATTACGGCAGAGTTGTTGGCACGGAAAAGCTTTCCTAGAAATAAATACAGGAACTTGAACTCATACTAATTTGTGGATTTTGTTATCTTATGTACGACAAGTCTCCCTAAATAATAAGTTTTGGTAAAGAAATTGAAAGGTGATATTTGTTGTTTGTTAATATAATGGTACGCATATCCAACTTATTATTTTAATGTAGTCTGAGTATAAATAAATTGGAAATAATTTACCAAATAATGTGAAATCAGTAAAAGTCACCGAAAGGAACACTATAATACTCGATATAAATTAATGTAATTAGAAAGCCTTATACATTTTATTCTGACAAATTTGTTTATGGAGGAAAATGTTTGTTCTTTATCTTATCACATTAACTATCTTCTTCAACAGGTAATTCACACCATTTTATTTAACAGATATTAAATCATTATCAGAGTTCAAGATACAAGAAAACATTCAGACAAAACCTACATCTTAGGTTGTGTTGACTGAGGTAAAAAAAAAAGTTATTTCTTTTGAGCAGTATTATTAGTGAAGCGTGATTAGACCTAATTAAAAGAAAGACCAATAAAAACCTAAAGTTGATTTAGCGTTCAAATAGCAACCGTAATATAATCAAATCTCTAACAATTGTGTATACCAGGAGTCTGTTTTATTTACTATGTTTTAGAACTAATAAGGGATACTGTGGCTACTATTTTTCACTCAAGAGTGTGTTAGCATGTTTTTAATCCTCTTAAGACTGTATAAGCACCAAGATTGCTGAATAGAATTTTCGCGTTTGGCACCAGAATATTTCTTGCAAATAAGCGCCTAAGAAAACTGAAAAATGTATGAGCAGTGATAAATGAATTGAACTATTAGTTTTGGTTCCTTTAATTTTTCCGTAACTTGATATTAAAAATACATAGGATAAAAATGCATATTTACAATTGGTTAAGTCAAACAATAATGTCAACAAGTCTACAAGGAATCTGAATTACTTTACTTGAAATTAAGGAAGAAAAGTGAGGATCGTTTATTGAAGGGCAAAATTAAGGTACAATACATGTGGTGTTAATAAAAAAAATCGCCCAATGAAGTTAAAATTACTGCGTAAAATATTGTAGATGACCAAGACATTACTAAGTTGCTGTAAAGTAAATGCATTCAGAAAATTAGAACAGTTTAAATTAACAGTGTGTGAAAGCATGCTATCGTCACTTTGTCGTCTTCCCTTACGATTTACTGATTATATTTTGAAAAACGGAAAGAATGAATTTGAAGAAGGCTTTTTCGTCTCCTTCAATAAACCACTTTCTCAGAGGTAATGGTAGAAGATAAATAGCCCATACCAAAGCGGCATTTGTGTGATTTCCATAGTGTTCCTGCTTAACAAACAGACAACAGCAACCGAGTGCTAGAATTGTTATCATATGACAGTTTATTATTAACTAAAACTAATTGCATGCACGAAGAAATATATTATCGGACATGTCAATTCTCAAAACTGCCTAGATAATAGGCTCAAATAGATCATATTTTCATCAGCCATCACTGAAAGACGTAGTAATAGACTAACTCATTCTGAAGCACATATTTAAATACTGATCCTTCTCTAGTTTACGAATAATTTTGTCTTCGTCTTACTAGGTCTCGAAAATTCATAGGGGAATAGCCCCTTAGAATTCAGACTAACGATAAAATGTCAACCACACAATGAGATTAAGATGATGGGCAGATGCCAAAAAACAGACAAACTGGTCTTCGGATACTCCCCGATTGTCTGTTGTTACCAAACAACCTGAATGGGATGTTAATTAGACCCCATGGCTCTTGAAGAAAATTAAATACCATAAGAAATCTAAGACGATGGAGAAAATAAATTTCGGACAGACCAACTTTCAAGATCTTTGAGGGTGGTGGTACAGTTTTAGCATTAGCTAGGACACTATTTAGAGCCTGAGAGTTTGATGTAATATCATGTGACTGGTTTTGACTTCTGATGGTTCTCGTTTATCAGCAAAGACAAGAACTCTCTTGTGATAACCACAAAAGAATCAGCCTGATCAATATACTGTGAAAATCTTTAGCCTTGATAATTTTCCGATGCTCAACCACGTGGTAGTGAAGAGGGAATCCGACCTAATCAGCCTGATTCCACAACTGGATGTGGGTGTGTGTGCCAAATGATCGCTCTTCGGTAAGTTCTGGAAAATAGGCTTATCTACCGTCTTCCAAACATAGTTGTACTTCTTGACTCTAAAGTAGAGTTCGAATCGGTTGATTTACAGGTTCTATGAAAATATCCGTCACCAAAATGTGTACCATAGACTTACGTCAAACGTGTATAGGCTATCTACTGAGATGCCACTGGTGCAGTCAGAGCAACTGGTGAAATATCATCAGAATTGACAACAATCGTTGGTGTTTTCGTCAGTATTGTCCCGCTTTTATTTAATTTTGTCATAGATGTTTTCCACGATAACGGTTTCGTTGTTTAGATTTTTAGGAATGGATGTTCTCACGGAAGATTTGCTTGTTCATTTAGATCAAGTGTACGATTTAGTCTTAGTTGAAAAGGACGTTGAAGGCACCTTTAGTATTTTGATCGTCTAAAGCGACAGCGCAAGTATGTTTGAGATGCGTTGCTTCATGTCTGGTCTGTGTCACGTCCTCAACTAATAACAGTGGGCAGAATAGTTGAGCGCGTCTATCACTACACTTATCTCGGAAGTTTCACTAGCTCTTTTAGTCTGATTTCCAGCAAAATATCAGCACATATTCTGAAAGCTGTTTAGTTGATTTTCCCTAGATTACATGATTTCTGGCATAGGAAAAACGTCTGTTTTACTTTATTCCTGTAAAATTTAACTTTTATAAGTTGAGGATATTCTAAGGTCATTAGCATTCGATCATAGATATCTTCGAGGCATGTATATTGGGACCATCAAGTGAGCAGTCCTGAGGTTGGACGTAAATCGAGTGATGGAGGCAGTGAATTCATTATCACACGAGATAGTTGTGACAAGTATTAGGTATCCCCAACCATCTCTTACGCTGACGCGTGATGATTGTTGATGTGGTAGTTTTGAAGGAAGCCAGAGACGGCTTAACCAAGACACAGCATCAGTCCATGAAGGCATTGAGAATCGGACTGTACCGTGTAGATGGGTGGAGACCAAATACTTGGGATATACACAACAACTGTGATAATCAGTTGAAGATACTAAGTGATGTTTTTCAGAATCGTGAGGAATGGTTCAAGTGCATTCACTTTTTACCTTCCTTTACATCCTAACTTTCTTGACCACCTATGAAAGTTATTTTATCCCACGTATCCACATCTCGAGTCATACATTCAATGTCTGATCTTTTCACCCCTCACCACCATTACATATAATACTTTGATGTGATATGACAATTCAAACCATTGTACGTATGTTGGAGGTTCCGTTCTGAGTATGACTGACTTGGTGAATTTTTCTTTAGTACAACTACAAAATGGTTTTACTCAAGTTGAGTAATTGATAAAATTATACGGTCTGGTATAAAGTGTTCATCACATAGACAAAATAATCTTAACAGTTTGATATCCTTACCCACTTGTAGGTTATACGGTGGATATTTAATGTTTATTTATATTTATACAGTTTATGCGTTACCTTGAGGTTTGCATTCATTTTCACGAAGAATTATTAACTAACACAACGTCACTAACTAAAAGTCTCCTAAACCATATATTATTTCGTTTATAACAAAGAAGAGGTATCCTCCATTATTGTTTTGCAATTTTCTGCACCAAGGTTTCCAGTATGTTCACTAGTGAGAACGATATAGTAGAAGTATTGGAGGAAAATACAATTTTAAGCTTAATAAATGAAATAGATGAGAACAGTTCTCATTTCCTTGTGAGTATATAGTTTTTGGTTGATTTGTATCTATAAAAAGTCAGCTCCATTTCGAATATCTTGTTTATAACGTTCACAGTTCTTCTGCTGAAATGCCTAAAATAACTTAGGTGGATTGTTTGGATTGGTTTTACAAGGTTGTTATTTTCTTTTGAAAGTTACACTTATGCCCCACCCACCATAACAGATGACCTACCACTGAGTCAAGCTGATTTTATTGACAGTGGACTGATAATAATGCTTTTTAAAGAATAAATATGCTCTCGAATTTGATAATTTGGATTTTAGTGGTTTCCTGAAAAACGTGGATTGATTGTGGGAATAATTGTAAGTGGATTTGGCCTGGGAGCACTGGTATTTTCGCCTATTCAGACTGCTCTGATCAATCCAACAAACGTAAAAGTAGACAATATTACTCGGTAAATTTGTTAAATTTGTATTAATTTTTCACTGCTTGTTTAATACTATAATGTTACCCCAAAACTTAGTAAATATTATCATTCTTCTTCTTGAAATCCCATTTATTAAAGAGAACAACAAATTTATCTTGTTAAATTCAGTCAAATAAAGCGAATAAATTATTGTGACTTTGGTGAAAAATTTTACAATCTGATTCTGTAGTTAAATAAATGTTTTAATAACGATTCACAGAGAACTGAGGGGACTCTTTAGTGTGCTGAAATATTCTGACAGTCAATAAAGCTACATATTGTTCATGACTATGACAATCTGGCTCCGTTTTATAAACATTCTTCAATCTATCGGCTGATAAGTGTGAAATGTCTTCGTTTAAGGTGATGAATATACTGTGACTTATCTATTTTTACTAATCACTTTTTATATTTGAGAACTTCTAATTAAATACCACCTAGTTTTAAATAAAAAATATGGGTCACAGATAAATCCTTTCAAATAACTTAGCCGATATTGATTTATTTATTTCCCTAACTCGTCTATAAAAATGCACTTTGACATGTCATTTTGACTCATTGATAAGTACTGTAATTGGTCGCTTCTTATTACATATTAATATTACAAATAAGGTAATATTTGACCAGAGATCACACGTTACTCCTCTTCTGATGAGAAAGCTCAGTCAATTTTACCCAAGTACACTGAGTAGTGAAAATTATTCTTTAGTTTATATATCTTATTACAGAACTCTACAGCTGCATAGAAGTTCTTTAAATGTTTTAAAATATGAAGTTGACATAAACGTGATAAATTGTTTATAATAAGGCTACTAATTACCACATTTGCAATTGAATAACCTAGAGCAACTTCGATTACTAAAGTTAATGATTCTGAGCGACACTTGTTGGAAGCCTGTATAACATGCGGATTTGAACGTGCTGAGATACAACATTGAATATTAATGCTCACTTTCTAAAATAAAATAAAATTAAGCTTTGCATAGTGCGCTGTCAACACTTCTGTCTAGAGATTTCTAACGATGCTGCCTTTTGAAACAGTATGACTTAAAGAACCATTATATAAAATAATGATGTCACTTACTACATTTACTACAATATGCTACTCATTTCAATTTTTAGAAAATCTCAGAACATATCCTGTGCTTAAAAATGTGATCATAAATGTCTAAATAGGATGGAGCTAGCAGCATCTTTCACCGTTTCGCCAATATCTGACATTTTTAGGAAAACATCTACTGTGAAATCGCTAATAACGTTACAATTTGATTTAGAAAAAGAAGGTTTAGCGAACTTTCTAAAATCAGTCTTCAAAATGATTGACCCCGTTCCTCCTAATAAATAGCTTTTAAATTTTTATTTTAAAATCATTTAGAAATAAAAGATGGTGTCTTTACTCATGTGTGAATAAATATTCACAGAATTCACCTCATTATTAATTTGGTCATTGATAATGGATTAGTAGTTAAGTTGATCAACAAAAATATTTTAATGGCGTGATTCATCTTAATCGTCTCAATTTTACTGCTCTTTATTTCGACTTAAGCCATCTAGTCGGAAATGGATTTCTTTATAATACTTTCCTGATTACATTTTTGTTGTCACAAAAAATCAAATATCTCCAAGAGTATCCACATATGATAATTGCGTCAAGGAAAGCTCACTATGATGGGTATTTTAAAGATGCAGATAAGCTTTTACAACGTTTTGGTCCCATTTATGTCTCAGATATCTTTAGAGATTCAGGTGTATCTGTTAGTTAAAATTATGTGCTCGGTAAGTTTCATTTTGAAGGATAGCAAACGGCATGAATGTGAAAGAATACTTATTAAATGGTATAACTATAACCAGAAAGATCATGTCATACTGTTGAAATAAGGATTGTTCTATCTCTTTATTTACAAATCCAACTACAATAGTCTGAAACATAGGAAAATCACTAGTTGCTTGCCACCATACAAAATTTAACTATTTAACAGATGAAATGTTTATAAACGAACTTGAATTAACTCAAAATACTTCGTTATATAAATCTTTGTTAAATGAAGTCCTTTCACATTTGATCTTAAATTTTAACGAGATTTCTTTTTCTAAAAATGAGGAATTATTGATTTAACCATACTGGCCCATATTTCAGGGAAGTGATCAATTAAAAATGAATTAAATTTTTCAAACTATTGATAATTACTAATTAAAAAAAGGATATGAAATAGTAAATGTCCAACAAAAGCAATTCATTTGGAGGTGAGCTTCTTTTATTCGCTCAAATGACTTAAAAATGAGTCGGTCACGTCATTTCTTATAAGTTTATGTGAAATATTATGACAAAAAATTTCTATCCTTAGGATGCTCAATTATTTGGATTGAAACGTACTTCGTGGCGTCTTGTTCGATTTAAAAGACGATATCCAGGATTGAAATGATTTTTTATGAAAATGGAGGGGTTGACGTGTAACACATAAATCGAAATTCTCGTAAACTCTAAATCCCTATAAACAGTTATCTTCGAGTCTCTCTTCAAATATCAAGAAACCCACTAAAACTCAATAAAAATTAACCTTATTTTATCATTGAAAGTCACCAGACTGACCCTGATATTATTAAAAAATTTGCAACGGCTTCGAGAACTATAAACAGTTAAGTTTAATTGAATCGTTTAAAAAACTAGCCAAACAGCCTATAGAACGATCATAAAAGAACACATTCTGATATGGATTAGAACATTCACGCTTCATAAACTACCATTTCAAACGCTGATCCACTGAGAATCAAATTCATATTCATGTATGAACTATATAACATACTTAATTTATGATCCATCAACGTTATTTCTCGGAATTAGATAATGCTGAATTATCTATGCAGAAAAAGCTTGACTCAATTATTCTTATCTAAGTTTTAACATAATAAATTCTCATCTCAGAGTTGATGTTCACTCTGGGACTCGAACCCAGTACCCTCGCTTCGTTATATGGAATAATTACGATTTGCCTAACATAATATCAATGAATCTATTTAAACGTATAATTGGACTCAGACCTTCAACCATTACTCCTGTATAATACGTATTTCAACTTTTCATCGATTTAGTAGGATTTCTATTAGACTGTAAATGCAACAACATCATTTTATTTTTTGATTTATTGATTATCATATGTCAACAGTATAATTGTAAACTGAAAACGGTTTTAATTATGATATTGATTTCCGATCCAATAGGATGGAAATAAGTATATCTAGAAAAAAGGACCACTGATGATAACGTTTACGTATCCATAGAATGTAAGGTTTTGGATGTTATTGCGTAACGTGTGATAAAAGCGGCCTATTTTTAAATTGTATCTCTCTTCACAAGCTATATATTTGAAATGAAAGAATATAGCTAAACTGTAAGGTGTGGGTATGTTGTGTTTTACACTGATTAAAATATTATTCAGTAGATAAGTGTTACACATGCTTATAGCCTTGGGTCAAGCTATGGTAATTAAAAATGTTACCTTTGTTTTATCTAATTATCTTTAATCATGAATTGAGGATTTCTTGCATGATTCACTTAATAGTTCTCAAAAGTAATAAATTAGGAACTTTATTTTTATATAGAATGTGTCAAAGTCAAACTTAGAAACCCTACGGTGTTGAAAACGAAATATTGCTTTTCTGGAATCGGTATATTAGACCACATAAATTAACCACTCATCTAAATATCAGAGAAAAACATTTCATGTTTCTTCGTAACGTTACATTGGGGAGTTTATGATTGAAAAACGAAAGGATCATGGACAACATGACGCTTCAATTTTCATACCGTATAGCAAAATTGTGTTATTATATTTGAGTGAAATACCTTTAGAGTACCCTCAGAGAACACCACACTTCTTTTGTAATCCATTGGTTAGCATCTATAAATTCTGTAAAACTGTCAGTTCGATTCTATTTTTGGTGGGTGTATCATCATAATTAATACTTGCTTACAATAACGTTACTAACGCTTACAAATAAGTAAACTGTTGGCTCTCTGTTCTTGTATTTTTAGTTGATCAGGGGACGTTTTTAACAATAAATTAATCTGTAATTTAATAAACATCTTCCAAAATCGTCTAATAAATATTTATCTTACTGCATACTCCTAACTAGCGGTTATAACATCATTGTCCTTAACAAAACTCACTTCCAAACAAGCCAAGTTAAATGACAAAAAATAAGCAGACTAATGAATAATAACCTGGACCTTAGGCTCTAATTATTCAATGGAATTTGAAATGATTGTGAGTGAAAGTAGTGCATAAAGTGAATGCTCTAAATAATGGACTTTCTTTAATAGCCAATGCTTTTTAATACTGCATGTGGTGGCACGTGTATTCAAATGACAAAATCTGTGATTTTTTTATAATTTTAGGATTTGGGATCATAGACTACATTTATTTTACTGATTTAATCAAAATCATTTCCTATAATATATTGGTAGATTTAATTGTGTTGTTCTTAAGATAGTAGATAATTAACTCTCCGTTAGACATTATTATTTTTCATTTATTTAATATATGCGTATGGATTACAAGTTGGCTGTTGATGGAGAGTAGAGTTTATTATAAGTACTATAACGTCAAGAACAATAATTGGAGAGGTTTGCATTTTGAATGAGTATTGAATCAGTCTATACTGATTGAAATAATTACTTTTACATTCCTGATGGACAATTAATTTAAAAAGAAAGTATTAGTTATCGTGTGGAAACATAATAGCTCATAAAAGTAAAGAAATTAATCATAAAGAGGATAATTCATTTACAGAAAAGTCATATCTTTGTTGCAACAGAATTAATAGGAACGACGGGAATCATATAAAATATGTTTGATATTACCTTAGTCTATTTTACAAGATATTGTTTGAAACTTTCTCTGGAAAGCTGAAAACCTTTTTGATATTGCCTAAAATTTGAGTTCGAATATTTATTTCTAATATATAGTAATACATAAAACGTGAATAAAATTTTACGAGACCGGTATATACAAAATTGCTACACCTAATTCCATGTCCGTTATTTGCACAATGATCACGATAATGGTCGATGATAACATGTTACAGATTACAAAAAGTTCATTTTCTACTAACCAATTAGTGTCTTGGTAATAACAATTTTCACTCTTTAACCATCAGGTTACACGTTTGAGACCCGCTCCATCCATTTTGTATGTGTCAGCAACGTAGTATCACTAGCCTTCACACGGTTAATCTAAATCAGACGTCGAGTACACAAATATTTACCCAGTGAATTAATTAGAATAATGTTATTATCGAAATTCCATTTAGATACAGATCTAACTAGTATTTATCTCGCGTGTACTACTTATCCATTTCAATCTTTGAATGAACAGAAGACAACTGTAGGTAAGGTCGATCTTGAGTTTCATTATGTATTTGTGGATCCAAAGAACAAATATTCATTAATCTAATAGGTAGTTTTCGAGTTATGATGGCTTTTTATTTATTTTATACATTTTTCATAATTAATATTGATTTATTCGTTTTTATTTAAAACGCTAACTACTCGATAAAACATCCTGAGCAGGTCTTCGGTACTATTCATCATTAACCTATACAAAGATTTTGTGTGAATAACTATTTCATTCACTATCGACCATTTTTTACGACGGTAGATGTGTGATAAGATATTCAGTTACTAAAATAAATTTATGATATCAAAAACAAGAACTTTTTATTCATCCTAAAAAAGCGCAGTTAGTTTTCAAAAGCCCTTTTAAGTTCATTATTTATTTTTTGACTTCAGCCACTTTACTGATGTCGAACTTCTTGACCGGGTACCTAGAACCCTTCTAATTTTGGGAGGAATATTATCGGGGATTCAAATAATCGGCTTCATTCTTCTACGCCCAAGACCTTCTTCAAAACAGGTGAGTGGCAGTTTCAATAGTAATTTAAATGACGTTATGGTGCGCTTTTGTAAATAATCTGGAATTTTTCTTCAGAAAATGAAATTACCTATGAAAAGAGTAAAAGTATTGTTCGCTAAGAAGTTAGAATTTACTGTTTATCTGCCGCAAACTACTAACTGAAAACCATTATTTCAGTGACGTTGCTCATTTTCAGCGTCCTATGTAGAAATTATTCACAAAGTATGGTAGATGACCTAGAAATGCCACCGGAAATATTATTTTAAAATCTTATAAAAAATACACATTTCTATGACTTCTATATTTCTGTAACCATTCAGCTGTAACAAATTTATTTAAATCATTTTTCAGGTCAGTAGGATTTTCATTTCATTCAAGCTTTTTAGACGAATTAACATGGTTAAATTAACTCTTAACATTAGGTAAAGGTGATTTAGTATGAATCTAGGCAGTATCACATTTTAATCAAAATAAATAAACACTATGAAATTAATACATTTCATTGAATGGAGTAGAAAGATACTTGGTCGTGAGATCAAAACTGTTGACCTACTGTGATTTATTCCGGGCAATCTTCAAATCACAAACGAACGATAATTAAAAATTAAACTGTTCGCTCTTTGATTTATTTCGATATTATTTTAAATGAAACTTCAGTTTAACCTCAGTTCCAACAAAAATAAATTGGCAACATATAAATTAACCGCACTTGCACTCTGATTTTGTGTGGAAAGCTAAGATAATCGGGCAATCAAATAGCTTTCAGGATTCAATGTGCGATGCCTAGCAAATTGTTATAATTATTGGTTGAACCACATTATTTACTGGTACTTTAAATAAACTAAATAAAGGTTGTTCTTTAAGAACCCATAATCAATTATTACCTCTTTTTGAACATATCGCTCTGTAAAATCGGCAGTGTATGAAACCTGCTTGTAGCCTGATGTATTTGGATGCCTTTAATTCTACTAGCTGAATAGAAACGATTATGTTCATCTTATCTATTCGTCCACATGTATAACTGCATGCTGCATCATTAATTACCCACAAACATTATTCGAGTACTGCAATTAATATTCTGTTCCAGTCGCACCGTATGTCAGAACATACAGTTTAGAGCTAGTCACTCAAATATACACTCTTCTTCGTCACATCCAAGTCAATCTCACTCGTCGTCATCGATAATATGTATCGATATTTTTATCATGTCGTAGCACGGTTTCGTAACAAACGACGTCGAACGCATATCTCTCAAACTACATAAACCACGCTGAACTTCACCACCGAAAAGGAATACGACTCCGCGTATCTCGTCTCCGCAGTCACTATTCCGTTTTTCCGATCATTCTATTAATACATATTCAACAATAACTCGATGTATCTGGTTATAGCGCAAACGACAACACACACGGACTTCACAATTTATGAACATTATCAATTGCAGTACAGCAACAAACATCACTCCTAAATGCATTTATCATTTTACGGCTTGATTATTCTTATCTTACGAACGTAAACTCCATGTATGTAAATTCGAATATACTAATCGCTGATCGACGCTATTTACTGAACTGAGGCTTGTTAGAACACCTTCATATTTCATTGTTCTTTATCCTTATAATTTAATCGGCACCACAGACCAATTTTTGTCATATTCTACCTTATTCCACTGTCATACCCATAACTGACTTATTACTGTTTTCACGGTATTTCGAATAGCTGATACGATCGTGTTATTTTATCGTTCAGACAATCACAACATGAATGCACGTTAAATTGTCTATATGCTTATTAACTTGCTCATAATCGCATGCTAACATTTCCATTTTTGTTCGCGTCTTTACAATATTTATATGTTCTTTTACATAAGTATGACACTTCCGTATAATACACTCACTCCTCACGTGACATTGTACTTTATCGGGTATAGTACAATTTTTCCCCTACTTGTTAATGCTATCCACACACCACTTCAGTGTTGTTTTCGAAAATAGACATTTTTAAAAATAAATGTTCTATTTTTCACAAGGGGGCTATGTAGTGTCGGTTACTGTGGTAAGCCCACATAACTTATTCTAGCTTCTGGACAGGCCAATTTATTCATTCTTCTTCAGCTACGTTTGGACCTTGTTAATTATTCACTTATCAACCCTGGCTGTTTTTATATGAGGGTATCTGTGTTTACATCTGATCCTACTCATCACATGTCTTTAACGTATTTTTGTGTGACTATACATATTGATTAACTCTCGATTAAATGGAGTTGGCTCACTTGCCTTCTCCAATCTGCTTTTCACTCTTACCTCTTTGTCTCGTTGCCTTGATTGCCTGCTCAAACCAATAATGAGTGCATGAAACATACATATTCAAAATCCATTCTCGTATTTGACTTATTTTAATTCCATTATTCACTAACGCACTATAGGATTGACGACATGTATATATCAACAGCAATCAGAACCGATCCAATCATAGTCAGATGTTGGGCTACTAAATGTTTATAATGATGATATTTGTATAATTGAAGTACATGACTTTTATTACTAACTTGTAATTATTTCCTTAAGTTAAAAAATATGACAAAGCATTGATTTTGTGATATCAAAATGAAATATAAAACAAAGCTAAAACAAATAATTAATATGTCACGATTTGTTCTATATTTTTACACCACAAATTATCCTCATATACAACCATTGATAGTAAGAGTTCATTATATGAACAAAAAAGTACATATCTTAGTTAATTATCATTTAACAATGAGATTGATAATTTTGTCTTTTATCCAAATGTGACTAGATTTTATAAGTATTCTTATGAATAAATTTTTCAGGTCATTTGAATTTGGCAAACGTTGTTTTAAAACAAAAATTACTCAGATTGATTTCTGTTCAATCTATAAGACATCATCACTAAAGGTGTCACAATTATAATCGAAATAAAAAGTCGTATTTGAAATAGATAATATTGTTATGTGTATCAAAGTAATATGATAAAATCGAATTTGTTTAAACAAATTATTTTGAAATTAGTTCTTGGCACCAACTAGGATCAGTTGAAGAAACATTGTAAACTAGATAGGGTAGGGTGATCATTTTATCTTGGTATAGAGCTCTCAGGACAGGGTACCTGTGACACTATAAAGGATTGATGGAGTGATTTTGTTGATTCTTTGTTCTAGAAATGTAACAGTAGGTCATGTCTTAAGGTGGAAAAGTCCGGTGAATATTTGAAATATAGAATGCATATAATTGCAAATTAATTGGGTATTCGGTGGATTGTTAAAATCAAAATTGAGATTTCACATATTACCTGGATCATCAAAAAAACTTATTTCAAATAGGATTACATTCAATTTTTGTATTGCTTTCATATTGTCTACAATAAGGTACGAAAAACTGAATTATTATTGTATAAAATTGTATCCTGAATAAATTAGACAAGAGATGCGTCCTAGTATACTGTTTACATATTATGGATTTAGATGTAAAACTTTGCAATTAAAATGCTACCTTTGAGCGTATTTTCTTAAAAACAAATGAAAAATGTTTTTCTTTGAAATAAAAATTCTGTTTTTGTCATTAAAAATACCCACGTATGTGTGCATATTTATTATGCAAAAATAACTTCCTACAGACATTTCCGCTCTTGAAAGCCTCTGTGTTTTATAATACTGTAGATAAAGATTAGGAAAAAAAGATTCAAAATACATGATTTAGCATACAGTTTAACTAGATTTAATTATGTTATCTGTTAGGCGGCTTCATTCTTACCAATAGGCTACCTTGATCATTTTACAACACCATAATTATGACCTCTCTACAATACAGATTTCCTGGGCGTGTTTCGAATGTTTTCTTTTGTCATAAAATTGCATTTATCTTGTTCCAAATTGTCTACTTGGTAATGAACTACTCCATGCTATCCAAAGAAATATGTGTACCAAATCATTGAGCTTACTTACTCCTAACATTTCAACCCACCATTTCGTAATTACAGGAAAGGTTTACTTCTTCGGATCTTAAAAATGTGAAATCGGTATTTCTGTCTAAATATGGTTGTTCGCTTTTAATTACGTTCGTAAAAATATTTAGATGTTATTTTACTTGTCGGTAATTTATGAGGTTATCTTACTACCTTTATTATATTACATTAGGATTGCAAAACTGCATCAAAGTGTATTCATCTATAACATGATATTTAACTGGAAAGACTGTTATCCTAATAAAGGTCTATTAAAAACTGCCTACTCATTATTGTTCATGAGTTTCGTTGAAATTTTAGCCAGTACAACTAGGACAAAAATCGCGTTATAAACTGAGTCTAAATAAAATGCTAGGGTTTCCAGCAGACTATATGTTATTGGCTGGGAAGATTTGCCGAGATTCGACTTTCATTAAGTTCACAGGCAATTTTTAAAATTCATTTGACTCTATTAAGATATTTATTTATAAGTAGTGTATATATTTCTTTCATCAGAATCTGCTATAAATTTATAGAATACTGATTTTCGTATAGTTTTAGGATTATTCTGGTTTGTTGTAATAGATATAAATAAGTATGAACAACATTGTACCCGGTAGGAAAATATACGTCAAACGACTACAGGTTTACATAATAGAAAATAGTTGAAAGTTATTGCTGAGAAAAAGAAAGCAGTTGCTCATGAATGCTGACGAAGAAACACTCGATGAAACTTTCAAAGTACTATTATTCAGCGAATCAAATTACCTACGTATTTGAATGAGAACTACGTAAGCGTTTAATCTGACACTAGTAGCAGCAGTTGTTTTTGTTATTAACTAAAGAAGGTTATTAAAATCATAAATCGATCAATATTAGACTACTATTGGGATCCCGGAAGCAATGGACGGCCGTTTCGTCCTAGTGTGGAACTCTTCAGAAATGGGCATTCACGATGAACGATGCTGCGCGCGGGACCCAAACCTACTAACGTCGTTCGATGCCGGTTCAGTGGTCAAGTAGGGAAGCATTTGCGCGAGATCAATAACCCTACATAGTGGGTCATTATGACAATTACAAGAATTTGCCGTGATGTTTCTCTAAGTCTACTAACTATCATTTTGGTTAGTGTTTTATGAATGGTAATGGATTTCTGACCATTTTAAGCATTCTGAAATGTTCCAGATGATCTGAAACAACAACATAAAATTTATTAGAGTTAGCTTTGTCGGACAAACCAATATAATATTTCAAACCTACCAATTATATATTATTTTATTACTTATGACTCTTCTCCCCCAAGTGTAGGTTAAGTAGTTTCATAATGATTAATTGCTTTGCAATAGTTTTACAAGTTTCTTTCAATGCCAGAATATCATATAATTAGTATTGATTTATAATTGTTCGTCATCGTAACTGTACATATCAAATGACTAATGTTCCGTTAGTATTCATAATACCATCTCTATTTCCTTTGTTTAATGTAGACAATGTCAAACATGTGTAGTTGTTATATCTTCAGAGAGTCAAATTATGAATTCATTTTACCTTAATTATGAATTGTGCACTTATCAAACAAAAAATGTCTGTCAAATAAACTGTTTTCCGTTAGACCTTGGTTAGCTTAGTTTATAAATTTGTTCCAGTGACTCTTCTCTTGAATCTATTACAAAAATATCTTCGCTTGGGCTTTGGCTTTGTTTGTTAATGATGTAAAAATAGGCAGAAAGAAATCTGAAAATTAATATTTAATACTGAATTTTTAAAAAATTATTTCCAATTATTTATTAATTTTAGAAACTTGATGATTTTGTCAGTAGCATACTGCAGTGTGTAGTAGGTCGTTTTTACTTTCCAACCAAACAACATTGATCATTTTCTCAGAATCGGGTAATTTATGGATATAGCCGGCATGTAGAACGCAACGTTATTTCATCAGCATGATAAATTCGGAAAACATTTTTTCAGACTAATTTAAGTTAATAAACTACACAACATAACTCAATATCATTTTAATAACTTCATCAATTTTCACCGTACAAAACTGTGAAGTTAGGCAGCATTGTGTATCATTTCCAAACAGAATGGATTTGCATACTGAATAACTCTTGTTAAAACGTGTTAGTTTGCTGGTAATGTACTCTGTTGAAAATTTTCTGTCTACAACTTCGAGTTTGACGGCGTTTCTTGACCTTATACACTACTTGTTCCAGACAAACTATTTGTCCGTATCCAGTAAATTATAGCAATCAATCTGTTTTGTAAAGACATGGCTGGTGAACCAGAATCTATGGAGAATCAAAATTTATAAGATTCATGCATATTTATTTAGTTTCATGAAAAGTAAATAATTCCACTACTGGTTATTGACAACTGAAATAAGTTACTCTCTACAAACTATTTACCCCCAATGTTCTTTTTTAAGCATTTAGATCAATGCATATTTTGATTTCATTCCTTATTTTCATATTCACAGGCAAATATGGCTCAAAAGATACAAGCTTCAAAGTAAGTTTATTCTTTCATGATATTTTGATATAGGACAAAATAATTGCTTTTCTTGACCCTACAATTTTGTTGCCCTAGTTTTTAATGATTTGTAAATCAATGTTCAATAAGTAACCTCATTACAGAAAGGTAAACAATTTGTAAAACGCAATATAAAGTGTCTTTAACATCAAGTATATGAAATAAAATAGATATAATCGTTGTCTATTAATTTACAACAATCAACTATTGTTTAGGCAAATAAAATAACAGGTCATTAGAAGCGTGTTTAAGTGACAAACACGTAATAACTATTCTTATTTCCATTGAACCTTGATAGAAAAGCTTAAAATTTAAGTCCAACAATATATCATGATTCACATTTGAATTGAAAATTTCCGTTCCATTTATCAGCTAAATATGTACTTATGGATCAAACTGCATATATAGCTCATTAACTTGTACAACATAGAAAACAGAATATACGGATGTTTGGATGAGCGAAAATATAGAAGTGAGTTCTAGCGTTATGAGAGTTCTGTGGTTTAACTTTCAGCAGTTCCGTTTTATCAAAGGATAAAAAATATGTTCCAATTTTTAAAACATTACTATGTTGTATGTGATATCATCAGTGTGGCGATAAAAAACTTTGTGCTTTAGTGTTCGTTTTATTTTTGGTTTATTTCCAATTTTAACTGGATGTGAATAGGCTCTATGTTTGTGTTATATCCCCTGGTGAATTATGAATGGTAAATCTGAGGTCTATTATCGACCAATGTATTATGCCTATTTCTTATTGTACAGTTGTTACGTAACTAAACTATTCATATTCGTGTTTCCTCTTATCATGAGCTTTATTTTGATCTTTGATTTATTATCATACGATTATTGAGTTATAATCAGTTTATTGATAACTTTGGTTTGTTTTTAAACCCAGTATGTTTGTAAATAATGATTCATATTGCCGAGGCTGTTATTTGTGTTCTGGACTCAACTGGCTGGGCTAGGCGTATAGCAGGACCGAGTAGTAATCAAGACTGTTCGAACGATTTCAAGCAATCATCATTTGCCTCCGATCAATAAATTCGCTCCCTCTCTAATTGCACGTTCCTATAAATTACGGGCGCATACGATATAACAGTTTGGTTAATTAAATTAAACGACACTAAATTGCTTTATTCTTATTATTACTAACTGAAGCAGTTTGAAGGAAAATGTCAGTAGCATTACAGTTCAATTTTTATAACTCAGCTGGTGGAATTTTGCAAAGAAATATCTGGATACCGCTGGATCTTCAAGAAGTTTCGGTGTTTTGCTGATTATTATGATTGCTTACGCGAATAAGCATTAGATTAGATAATAATAACTAACGATCTAGTTTAAGTAATTTCTCCTTAATGAATAAAAAAAGTATTTAAGCGAGCAAATTCATTTTGTGAATCTCATGAATGATGAATGCTTATGTTGATATGATAATTATGATTACATTAAAGTGATCAATTTTTATGACCCCAAATTTATAAATCATGAGATAATAAATCTAATGGCTGTCTGATTACCTACTTACATACTCCTGTTACCCCTTCATCTAATTACTGGATAGATAAGTTTATTTAAAACTATTTTCTAAATAAAAATGTCACATAATTTTATCAAAAATGAACTACATAGATCATACGTCATGCGAAATTATTTTATTATAAGACTTTCAATTAGTTAGTTAAACTAATGATCAAAATTATTTCTACAACTCACTTTTCAAAACTAACGAGTGGCACGGTCAGCTGAAACGGTATTTACCACAGCAAATATATTACGATTTAATGAGCAAATAAATAACAGATTATTAAAAAAACATAATCGTCATTATCGTACATGAATACATAAGGGTTTAATTACTATCATTCAAGTTCAGTTCAGTATCTTATTAAGTATTTAATTAATATTTATTTATGAATTTAACAGTACATTAATTTTCAGTAGGGGGTTTCGTGAAGATTTTAGTAACTTTATGGTTGAAATAATAAGTCGCTTGAAGCTAGACCACCATGAAAAACCTGGAAGCACGGACTGCCGTTTTGTCCTAGTGTGGGACTCATCAGTGCGCATCCACGATCCAGCCTCGCAAGATTCGAACCCTAGAACATTAATTGTTTATTTCTTGAAATAAATAATTCAGCGTAACATTATCATTTTGGAAATAGAATCAAGGCAAGCAACAAAATTATAGTATTTAATTACAAATGCTCTGACTTTAAAGTTCCTGCATCCTTCATAGAAACAAGACTAGCGAAACTTGATATCAAATCGCTTGAAGGAACACTACCGCAAAATTGAGTAGACAATCCGATCAAGTTTAATTTGACAAACTAAACGGTTATTAGTCCAAAATAATTGTAAATAAAGATCTAACACTGATACGCTCCGATGGAAATTGCAACAGAATGTTTGCCTCCAAAAAAGGAAATGAAACAGTTATCCTCTAAACAAAAGTGAAGTAGAACAACATATGTAAGCGAACAATTGTTTTCAATTAGATCGTCATCAGGTTAGATGCCTCACTAGTAGAGCAAATAAGATCTGTTCTGTTGATACTTTCAGTCAGGAACTGGAATTTATCTATAACTCACTGGACTGAGATCGGCTACCCTTCTGCGTTCATCAAAAAGTATATGTATGATACAAGGAAGAAATCGGAGATCTTAACTGTTCGTAAGAAGCCTCTATACATAAAATTACCATTCAACGGGGATGTAGCTAGTGAAACTCTGAAAGATAGGTTAACAAAAGTAATTAGTAGAACTTTCTACGCAACCTATCTTGCATTGACTTTCTCGAGTCGACCAGTGATGTCTACTCAAACGAAGGATAAGTTACCTGAGTTGGCCTCCTCCATGTGCATTTATAAGTTCAGCTGCTCCTGTGGAGATAGCTATATCGGACGTACTACTAAGCAACTTAACCAACGAATGAGTGAACATCTACCAGCATGGTTTGGAAAAGGCCAAATAAAAACAATACGCAGTTCTATCTTGGCACATCTAATTGATAGTGATCATATTGTCGATAAATTGAAATCATTTCAAGTGATCTATCGTATACCTCCATCGTTTCCCAACGGAGTTCGCTCCCGTCTACTTCATATAGCAGAAGCCATAGGAATTCGTACATTCCATCCCAATTTATGTGTACAGAAGAAATTCGTAACCCCCTATCCCTTCCATGGCCGGACATAACTTAATAAATGACATTATTATTATTTGTAAAAATTTTATTTTGGTTATAATTTTTTGTTTGTTTGTAATTTTCTACCTCTTTCCGTTTGTATTCTTCACTATCTATTTACTTACATACTTCTTATTACGTAATGATTTTAATGTTTTGTGATTACTATTCCAGTCTATTTACCCACGTTTGACCTCTTAATTCTTATGTTTAATTATTGATAAGACTTTTAAATAGGAATAATATACATTTGTAAAGTCTCAGCGAATGAATTTGTAGTAAATCCAACGTTTCGCCTGGCAATCTGGTCCAAGCTTTTTCAAGGAATTATAATCAAACATCAAAATTATCGAATATAAAAAGGTACATGGTTCTCGAGTTCATTATACACTGAATAGGTCATCCAATCAAAGTTAACAATAAGTCTAAACTAGGTATGTTTAAGAGATATGTGATTTGAAGTAATGAGTGTTCATATAACATATTGTATAGAAAAACGTAAGAGGTGAGAGGAGAAAATTACATTCACATTAGATATTGTCTCTTATCAATGAATTTATAAGGAAACATACAATTTGTAATATATGTGATATGAATCATATCTGTCTCAGTATGTATAACATGATGATAATTAAACAAAATAAAAATATAAAGGTGAAATTTGAAGATCGTAATTTTTGACTGTATGTATGTGTCATTTTTAATGTTACAATGAATTGTTTAACAAATTCCGATAAGACAATAGATTAAAATCATTGAGTGTAATTGTTGTCATTTTAGATAATACGAATTCGATAAAAACATTAAGGAGTTCAGGTTGTTACTTATTAATGATTAGCTGCCATGGCACTACTAATTGTATTCCATCCCTCCTATTAATATTGTTTGGATTAGCCCAAATGTATAGGGCTTCAGCTGTTTGTCTCTCCTTGTAAGAATTAAAAGCTTTTTGAAGGATTCTTGTGCCATCGAAATCAATTGTATGACCTGATTCTATCGAATGTAATGCTATCGCTGATTTGTTCTCTAATTTCCTTACATCATCTGAGGATTTAGGAATATGTTTCAAACATTGTTTGTGTTCCTTCACCCTCACATTCAGTTGTCTTGATGTTTCACCTACATACGTTGCATTACAGTCACTACATTTGATTTCATAGACACAATTTTGTTGTTCTTCTTTATGTATTGGATCTTTAATTCTTACTAATTTTGATCTTAGAGTATTGTTTGTTCGAAAAAATACTCTTATATTTTGATTATTTAAGATTCTTCGAATATCTTCCGAAATTCCTTTCCGATATGGGATCACTACTGTGTTAACCCATTCCTTTTTGTGTAATCTTTTTGTATTAACAATATCGTCTTTTCTTTCATTCTTAATTATTCTTTTAATAAAATCTTTTGGATAATTGTTCATAATTAAGGTAGATGTAATTAAATTTATTTCCGTTTTCATATCATTTGGTTCAGTGACAAGTTTTTGAGCTCTTGTAATCATATTTTTGACTACTGTCACTTTGGTTGAGTGTGGATGTGCCGATTTAAAATCTAGAAATTTTTCTGAATTTGTCGGTTTTCGAAATATACTAATTTTTAAGCTATTATTAACTTTCCTTTCCACTATACAGTCTAGGAAAGGTAATTTGTTTTCAGGAGATTCCAACTCTTTGGTGAACTTGATTTTTCTATCAAAGTTGTTGATAAGTTTAAACAGTTCATCCAAATGGTTCCGTTTTATAATGACAAAGGTGTCATCTACATATCTTAACCATACTTTTGGTGCCTGAGAACAT